ACAAAAAGGTGTCAAATTAATGCAGCCGAAGGTACTGAAAGTTTGGCGTCGATACGTCAAGCGGTTTAGAAGTTATTGCAGAAAAACGAGAGGGGGCTATGAATCGCCTCCCCAGAGGGGCGCGGGTTAATTGAAGGTGTTCCGCCGCTACTGACCAGTTCCACCCAGCACAAGCAAACGGAGAAGCTCAGGGGAGAAGCCCATTGCTGGCTTAATGAGATATTGCCCCCTCAGTCACCCGACCTGAACCCATTGACTAAAGCATCTATGTAAAGCGTTGCAGCAGGATGAGGTCCAGGGAGTGTCCCATCCCAATTTGGAGGCCCTGAACGCACACATCGTGAAAATGTGGGAGACGAAGGACCCCACCTGCATCATCAAGACATGCAGCTCTTTCCGCCTCCGTGTGGAGAGGGTCATTGCCGATAAGGGGGTTACATCGCGCATGAGGCGAGTGAAAGTATCTGGTTTGATAATGCAAACCAGTATTTGGTGTTAGCGTTGATAATATTTACTCCGATTGCATTCGTTGATCGAAGTAGTAAGTACAGAAATGGGCCAGAACTTTTTGCGCACCCTGTACACAGGCCCAAATCTGGCATGTCGGAGTTGCCGGGGCAAAACGGACTTGAGCCAAACCAAATTGCTGGCTGGGAGAGTAGAGGGCAGGGCCAACACAACAAGCTTCGCTTGGCGGGGTCTCTTTCCTGGTAAATCCTTCCATTCAAAATGTTCGGACTAAGTTTATAAAATAAAACATTAAGCATAAGCAATTGTAGGTAATACATCGTTTTCGAGCAGCCCAACCGCAGTAATCACATTATAAACAACGGAAACTCCTCCGATTTCTAAGCAATTTCCACTTATCACTCGAATCCACATCACGCATGACGCAGTGCATGGTCGTCATTACCTGTTACGTCACAGTCCTCCCATTCACCGAGCGATGCGGCTGCGCACCTGCTGTCGGCTAATGGCAGGTGGTTCGGTTACAACACAACACTCACACACACCGTATCGCCTGCTGTACCGATTACCGGTTACCGCTCCAGTCGGTTCAGCTGCGCCGCCATATCACCGTAGTCGCTTGTTTCGGTTTCACTCTCCCATGTTGACGGCCAACGTTGGATCCCCCCGCGCCGCCGTCTTATTTGCTATTACCAATTTGTTTTTATAGGAGAGTGCATGCGTGGTGCATAGGGGAAAGTGGGGTAAGACGGTCAGGGTAGGTAAGACGGGCACCCCTTCTGCAGACCAAACCAATAGCGCTACGAGCGAGAAAAATTAGGACCAGAATTGCCTTTTCCACTACACACCACCATTGAAGTCTGGTGAATTTGTGTTCAGTCAATAATCCTTTATTTTGATTTCTTTAAAAACCTCGAATGAACCTCATCTCATTGAAAACATCCATAATATATATTGTGCAAGCTTTTGTGTGCAGCACTATAGAGTTAAAAACTCGCAATCACTTGTGGTACACACATACCTATGCCACCATGTTTACCGCGGATTTGCTTTGCCTGCATCAAATTGTCCACAGAGAAAAATCATGCTGAGCTTCTGATATTGAGTTTGGGGTAAGACGGGCAACTATGGATCCAATGGGCCCTGTAGTGGTGAAAATATTTTTGTTGCTGTAGGAAAAAAGAAGCATTTAAGAATATGTTAGATTTTGATACTCACAGACATGTTAGCAATATTCCTTCGGCACAGTTTATTCTCGAATAATGAATGTGAAAAACGGCTCTACAAGGTTTCTGAACTAGGGCCTATATACGAGCATACGCCTTCTGCACGAATCTCGTATACTGCCTTTTCCGAAGCACTTGAGACCAACGAGCGACTGTATCAATGCGGCTAATCTCGGGCATTTGTTGCGAGCTGCGCTGGTCGGTGAAAGAAGCTGGCCATCTTGCCCTACCCATGTGACCGCCTTACCCCATGGGGTGGGGTAAGACGGGTTTTTGCAAGGTTTTGCAAAAAAAGCTGTAGTTTTTTTTGATGAATCAGCTCTAAGTCTCATCTTCTGGCAAATGGAAGTAAAATGTCTAAAAAAGGTTTTCACTCAGTTTCCCGTTTCTATGATGTTTTTAACCGGCCGAAAAATGGCTCCAAAGTTAAGGTGCCCGTCTTACCCCACTTTCCCCTTAGTAGTTATTTATATACAACTATGACACTATAAATATAGTATATGGATTCCTTTATCAGGCACTCATACGGAATGTCTGAATAGGTAACACAGCCACTAGACACTTAACATAGTTTCCAACGTTTATTAGACGTTTAGTAACTTGTTGAAATCCATAGCAACCGTTGAGCGTGTTCGTTACACGGCTCTCGATAATTTTCACACCTTGCCTGCCCTGCGATTCAATGATAAACATGGATTTTAGTGCGGGATATTTAAAGAGTGATTGGTCGAGTTTATCTGTGGAAAATGTCGGTATGAACGGACCAACCCAGCCCCGTCACGAGTTCACGACCATAAAATAAATTAAAATTGACTTAATAATTTAAATGGTTTCTGCATATTATACGTTAAAAAGCCCTTTAACATCTTCTCGCTACATATAAACGCCTATCATACCTACCACTAAACGTTCAGTAACCATGTTTAACACATCGATGTGTTGTCGATTGGTTGACATAAACTTTAATCATTTGATACCTTCATAAAGAATCATTGTAGATTGTCTGAATTAAAGGTAGTGTGCCAGCTTTCCTGGACCGTATGGAGTTAATGGCCCAGATAAGGAGAACCGGATTTTTAGAACTTATCCATACCTTCAAAACTCATGGAAACGTCTTAAATTCTTCAAATTTTGAGTACCCCAGTGCGAAATTCGCCCCGACGGGTTGTCGGTCGTACCCCAACCACATTTCACACCACTATGAACAATAAATGCACACACTGAAATCGCTATTACCGATATGCTCATCCAATCAAGTTTCGATAAACCCGTTCATCATAATCTCCTGCGGTTTCGAACACGCCTGTTAGGTGGTGCGGTAGACCGCGCCCAAAGCCAGGGCCCCGGTAACGTGAGGTAGCCGAGTCGGGGCAGCGTGCGCTGACCCAAGCCGGGGCCGCGCGTCCTCCCGGTGTCATGTGATAGCCCGGGGCTGCCAGCGGGGATGCGGTAGACCGCGCCCAAAGCTGCGGCCCCGGCTTGGGTCAGCGCACGCTGCCCCGACTCGGCTACCTCACGTTACCGGGGCCCTGGCTTTGGGCGCGGCTTCTGCTCATACTTTGTGGTGCGGTGGTGGTGCGTCGGGCCGCGCGCTCTGACTTCGGCAAAGAAAAATGCGTCAGCTGATCATTGTCATTTCTGCCACTTGCGTGTGGTGAAATGGGGTCATAACTTAAGAGACGGCTTTTTCATATCAATTATTTTACATAAAATCATATTTCAAACCATAAATAATGTTCGACAGCCAAATAAAAGAAACAATACCAATACAGGCTTACAGTTTAAGGCTCGACATTGTGTTGTCTACGATTAGACAGCTGATAACTCATTCCCGTACGTCGTAACTCTATAATGACCTTTGCTTATTGTCACATGTGCGCCGCATTCGCGGTTGTTGCCGACGCCTGTTTGCAGGTCAGCCCACTACAGTTGTTATACATATCGAAAAACCGATAAACTTTTAGGCGAAAAAAGCACTATTCCAGGCCCATTTTTTTTTTTTTTGCGATATTAGGTAAACACAGAAGCTTCTTATCCTAGGAAAAATAAAATGGGAAATCTTTCAAAGGTGGCACACTACCTTTAATAAAACTGCTAAAACGCGTTTAACAAACAATTATAACGTTTACTAATAAGACGTGTAACAAACTTCAAATGACTAGTATACCAGTACGTTCAACACATCAATTTCACATCACTATATAATAACTTTCGCTCATTGTGCCTCGGGTCAATGATAAACAGTCTTTGGTGGACGGTGTGGGATAATATGTATTCATCCTGATATTAGTAGGAATTAGCATTGCACAAGAAAACAATATAAAGTTTTCATTCATACTGTCTTTCTTTCATTCAGTCATCAGCCTGTCTCGTAGCTCAGTTGGTAGAGCGTTGTACTCCCGGTAGTGAGAGCCCGGGTTCGAGACGCTCCGGCGCTCGATATTTGAGACTCCTGATCGGTGGATGGTCTGCGGATGGGGGAACAGCCGCAGCCAGTTGAAGTCAGCTGAGTGTGACAGCCCGTGTGCGGCTTTGATGGGCACGTTAAAGGGACCCTCCCGGCTCCCACCTTCAAAAAAGTTAACGAATTTGCATGAAAGTGATGTCGCTCGGTTCAGAAAGAGAAAAAACGAATATCTACCAAATTTCACCGAAAAATATTCACCGGTTTTCAAGAAATTAGACTTACTTCTGTTTACTTTTTTTGGATCTCCGCTGTTCCTAGCGATTTCATTTTGGAAGTGCGGCATTTGCGGCAGATGTTGCGCGCAAATAGCATATACCACCACTGCTTCACAAAGATGTTAGTATAAGGTTTTAAAATCGTTAGATCACCGCTGACGTCACAAATTCTAAGGGGGCATCTCAATGCATTAGCCCCTTAGAATCCGAAAACTGCAAGTTTGAAATTCCATATCTCCGAATTAAAGCATTTTTCGATGTTGTGAGTGCCCAAACCGGTATTTGCAGGCCATGGCCACCAATTTGGCTATCTCAACTCAAAACTAGTGTTAAGGTGGGATGGTCACTTTAAACTTTGGCATCTAAATCCTCCCGTTACCTGGAATCGCGCCATCGGACGGTAGGGGTCGGAGTCTACGCAACAAGCTCCATGCTTAGCGTGAGCTCCGGCTCTGTCAATCCCGCCGTCCATTTAAACATTCGGGCTAAATTTATCAAAAAGATCCAGTCGTACTTGCGAAGATGGACATTGCACAATGCACAATGCACATGCAGCACTTACTGTAATGTGTAGGTACTGCACAATGCACAGGCAAGAAGTATCCCCATTCGAAAAGTACCTAGATGTATTCGACTGCCAACATACGAGTACAATAAACAAGCGGATCACTCAGGTGCAGCTTCGATGTGCGAAGCTGTAACAAATAACAAATGAAAGCGCCTGGTATTTGCTGCCATCGACTAGCTATTCCCTTGTACGGTTCTCGTTTGCTCATCCAGTCTGTCAATCACTCGTAAACGGGCGCGTACGGGGCCGGCTCCGGCGCGTACGGGGCCGGCTCCGGCGCGTACGGGGCCGGCTCCGGCGCGTACGGGGCCGGCTCCGGAGCGTACGGGGCCGGCTCCGGAGCGTACGGGGCCGGCTCCGGAGCGTACGGAGCCGGCTCCTTATATTCGGCTTGCTTGGGTGCGTGGTTGTACTCGAAGTAATGCTCTCCGCTTCCTCCCGACTTATCGTTCCAGCCGACCTGTAATCAGAACATGAACTGATAAACCGTTCTTTCAACCCACAAATCATCGTATAACGGTTGTGTGCGATAAATATGTGGCAGCTAGTTAGTTATAACGTTTAACGCATTTGCAAATTTTAACCCTCGCACGACCAGGCCATTTCTCATAACACGAACGACCAGGGGGGGGGGGTTGTTACGACCCCCCCCCCTGGCGTTTCGAAACGGAAGGTCGTAGAGCTTAGCGGAAAAAACCAACGGATTGCTCTCAACGAGATCTCGCGATTGGTGGTATATTTTTTGGTCCTAGGTCAACATTTGACCTACTTATGACCGGTCAAAGGTCAAATTTTCCGAAAAAATCAAACTTTTTCAACTTTCCGCGGCGATTGCGGCAAAACGGTGGGAGATATCGACTTGAAACCTTCACTATCGTGTTCCTTGATCAATTCTCTATCGTTTGGTATGTATTTAGTTTCCCTAGCTCTAAAAATGGCGCGTTGGGAGTGCCGGAAGTCGGCAAGGTCACAGTCGGCGGCAGAAATTCGAAAAATCAAAATTTAAATTTTTGAAATCTGATTGTATTTTTGGATTTGGGAGGTCCATTTGCTCCCTATAGAAGCTAATACTGCTGCATATTCCCATTGAGGTGACAAGAATTAGCAAAATAGTGGTTCGGGCGCTTTTCAAAAATAGTACCGGACGCTGTTCCTCTTGTGACGTCATAGCTCCGTGACCTGACCTGACCCGGTCAATTTTCTTGCACCACACGATAGCCAATGCTTGCCCCAACATGCATGGGAAGTTTCATCATGATCCATCAAACAATGTGGGTATCACCGGCAGAAAACCTAGGGATTCGGCGCACACGTTTGGTAACTGTCGGCCGGAGGCTGTACCTCTTATGACGTCATAACTCCGTGACCTGACATGACCCGACCAATTTTTTTTCGGCAAAAGATGCGCAAAGGTTGCCCCAGAGGGTATTGAAAATTTCAGCCCGCTACGACAAGCCGTTTAGCGTGCACTTCGAAAAAACCTCAGGGGGGGGGGGTTGATACAACCCCCCCCCTAGGCGTTCTAGGGTTAACGAGCTGTGAAATGAGTTACAAAAAATGAATAGATAATTCGTAAATTAGTTGTACGATCGATTTCACAAGGCCGTAGAACTTAGTATAGTTCTAATATACCTATGTCTGAAGCTGAACATCCGGAGGTCACACACAATAAATGGGTCAATAGTCACTATAGTGACTATCGACCCATTAATCGTGGCATAACTTCCGGATCCCAACTTCCGGACTGGAGTCCCTCCCAGTCCAAGTATCTCCTGAAGCCGCGTCCGTTTACCTTGGCCCTGAAGCGGTGGTCCTTGTTCTGCTGGTAGTGGTCGCGGTTGTGGTACTCGTTGCCGCGCTTGTAGCCGTGCTCATACTCCTTAGGCGCCTTCACGTTCAGGTATTGGAAGTAGCCCTTGTACTGCTCCTGGGCAGCGGTAGCACCCAGGAGGGCCACTCCGACCGCCAGCATCGCCACACAGGGCTTCATGGTCAGCAAATCTGAAAACGGTGAACACGGCGCTAGGCTGGTTACTTTATTTATTGATCGATCTATGATCGATTTATCTTATTTATGTTTCTGGATTTTTCGTGAACTATTTATCTCCACCTTTCTATCTAGCTGACCGCTAACTTTTATTCCTTCAACCTTTGTACGGTCGTTTACCTCAACGCACGAATATATTGACGGTTGTGTAAATGTAGGATATAAAATCATTACCTGATTTCTGACGATGTATTAACTAGCAAGAGGCATGCTGTGTACGGTACCTATATAATGTGTTTTAAGACGACCATCTTGCCATATTTGACGTATAAAAATAAATAGGATTATTTACAATTGCTATAAAGTTTCCAGCGGCTGATGTTATAAGCTGACGGGCTCAACCCTGGCTTCCCCGGGCTCGGATATCCCCTGATGGGCAAGTGCTCTTACCTGGGACACAGCTGTAACACTCACTGGTCCTCCTGTCCTGATGGTCGCTTATAAACAAACGGGAGCTGCCGCTCTCCGAACGGCGGACGCGCCGCGCGGCTGACTTTCACTATATCGTCACCGCGGCGCGCTCGGGTCGGGTCTGGGGCCCGACCGCGGCGGCGGCGGCTGACCATCGAACACGGCACACGCACAGCTGCACTGTCGCTGGCTCGCTGGAAGGGGACCGTGGACCGTGGACGGTGGACGGTCGTGGACGGCAAAGCTTTATATGCTGTACAAACGCTACATGACCGAGGGCTCGGCCCAGTACCTAGTAGGTAGGTACCTACTACCCAGTACCTAGGTACTGGGTAGGTACCTAACCAGTACCTACTGTAAGCAGTAAGTGCTTGCATACCTGCATACCTAACTGATAACTTAACCCTCGCCCGTATAGGGGGGGGGGGTCGAACGGACCCCCCCATGGTTTTTCGCAAATAACTCGCGTAAAAAGCGGCCGATCGCGACGAAACTTTCAGTACCCTCGCGTTCATCAATTTCACACTTACCCTGAAAATTTCATGACCCTGACCCAAAGGACCTTTGACCTGTGACCTACTTTTCGAGACCATGTTTGGCTGGAATCGCGATTCGGCGTATGTCGGCTCGCATTAGCCGCGCGTTTGCAGTCTTTTCGTGGTTTCAAGCGTTCAAACATGTGATATGATGTTGCCCCCATGCATTAGGGTGGGTGTCAAGGTCTCCTGAAGGTCAGGTCAGGTCATTGACCTTTGATGACCTCGGTTCACTTTTTCGAGTTTTACATGTTTCTAGGCCAGTTTTTGGAGCTGAATTCGAATTTAGCAACCATATGAACATTTACGAAGTAGTTTTGGTGCCTTCGTAACATGTTACGAAGCTGTCAGAGGCGGTTGCCACCTACTACGAATACCCTTATGGTTGACCTGACCTGACCTGACCCGACCTGGCCTAAATACATGAAGACATCATCTGTGATCAAAACTAACATGATATTCGTGATCAGCACCCCGAAAAACCCCATTGCAGCCACACTTCACGACGTTCTAACAGGTCCCGATTTTCCCGCCTTTGGGGTCATTGACCTGACCTGCAACGTCAACCAATGACCTAGGACCTTAAAATTGGGTATCATCGGCTTCCTCTTGTCACGGGCAACACGCTCGTTTTTTCCGCGAAGCTCTAGCTCGATCAGGGGCGAAACGGCAAGGGGGGGGTCCAACGGACCCCCCCCCCCCCCCTTATACGTTCGCGGCTGGAAAAACACCAATACGGGCGAGGGTTAAACTAAAGGCCTGGATATTGGCCACGATTTCAGCTTAGAAACGAACCACGACACTATTGTAGCATTCGCCAAGTGAAAATTGGTCGTAAGCTGGCCTTTTTTGTTTGTTGGCAGCAGGCTTTTACTTTCGTTCTAAAGAGATCATTGCAGAACTATGGGATATGAGGACAGGACTTAGAAATCAACATATTGGGTTGTGTGAGACACCGTCACCAACAGGGAGCCGCAGAGGCGAGACCATCCCGTTGGGACTGGATTGCCTCGTTGGTATGACCTCATCCACTAGTTGTCAGGTGGGGTGACCACTGACCGCCAGGCGCCAGCCCGGTAAAGGAGCTGAGGGAGGATGCGAATGGGCTTTTTCTGAGGATGGCGAGGTTGGATGATGAAGCTCGCCTTTTGGCCGCCCATACCTTCTTGGATTCGCGCGCCATAGTGAGTCGGGCCAAGGCATGGCAAAGGTAGTACTTTCCTTCATTTTCCTTTATGATTGTATATGGTAGCAATACAAGTTTTACATTTGTAGCGCACAAATACGTAAGCGGCTCAGGCAATTGTTGGGCAATTGTTTGTTTTCTTGCATGGCGTTTCTTGCATGCTATTGCATGCCAATTGCCAATGCCATTGCATTAGAAAGTTGTTGTGGGTGGGGTTTGGATCGGCAAGAAAATCTGCGAGATATTCAACATTAATACCAATCCAAATCAAATGGTTACAGCCAGGGAGTGAAGTAGCTGGAAACAGTCGGTAAGTGAACATTTCAATTTCAATTTATTTTTATCCGCATATCAATTTATCTTTTGCTCTCCTCATCCTTGTCCTTTTTCAGAGAAGGGACTCAATTTCAGGGTTATACGAGGGGTTTATTAGGTATCAATCTTAAGCTTGAGCTTAAATCAAAAGTTAAATCAACATCAAAGTGCTTTTTCTTTATGATAGTCATATCTGTTCATACTGAGCTGGTTAAATTTGGTTGTAATTCAGTAGGTAAATCCAAGGCCCTATATACCAGGTAGGGTCGTCCGGCGATTCTACCTTTTCGTGACGTCAGCTCGTGACGTCATTTGGAGTCAAGTCTCGAAGCCCCGTTCAATCCCCATGTAAATGAGCGATTTTCGAAGCACTGTAGAATGAAGTCTGCACAAGATATATCAAACCTAAGTATCTTATCTGAAAGAGCAGACAATTTTCTGCAAGTTATCTATTACGTGTTTTTCGCTAAATCTTTTGCTTTTTTCACAAAAGCGTAAAATGTCCCCTCATGTCTCCGCAGCCTCCCTGCCGCCGGCCGCCGCGCGGTCGCGGTAGTGTAGTGGTTAGCGTGCCCGCGCAGTATTCCAAAGGTCCCGAGTTCGAATCTATGCGGTGCGGAACTTTAATTGCAATTCCAAGCTGAATATACGCACATCCATAATAAATTATTATTCGTATAGCTAAACTGTCGCCAAGCTATCCATATAAAGTGACTTCACCCAAAATATCGGCAAGATTCTATTAAAATATAAATTCAAATATGGCGGCTTGGACTGCCGCGTGCGTTAGGCTCCGCCCATAGCTCCGCCCACATGCGTGACGTCATTCGTGTTAGTGGACACACGCGGAGATAGGGGACGACATGGGCCTGGGTAAATCTCAAATAATCTGAATCACCAAGTAGGTGGTGTTGTGTTTCCTTTTCTTTTTGAGTTTCTTTTTAGTTTTCAGCCAGCTGTCACGAGTGACATCAAAGGAAGCTCATTTTTGAAGGCATAATCTCCAGGTGTTAACCAGACATAATTTGAAATTGAAATTGAATATTTTAGCAGTAAGAACTTCAGTAGTCGTTTAGCTGGCATCGCATCACACTTGTTTTGTATACAACCAAGGAGAATTGCTTTCTACTCAAACCAAACCAAATCCAACCAAATCCAGCCAAATCTGACTTAACCCCACCTACAGCTTTCAACCCCAGTCTGCAAGCTGGCAATTTTTACGAGATCTCGTTGGTGCGGGCTTGTTGGGCTGGTGGGGATTCTGTGCAGTGCGGTGCAGATTTTGGCTTGGTGAGGTGCGGATTTAGTGTAGTGCTGTGTGGAATTGGCTTAGCGACAGATATGACAGACCAGACTAGATAGATTAGGAAAATCGAAGAAAAATAAAAACAGACTACAAGTGTTGTTTCAATGGTCCTAAGTTGATTTCATGTTTGATATAAATTGAAGGCCTTCATAGTTCATGGAATGTTGAATTGAAATTGGAAAATATTTGACATTCTGGTTTTGCAGGTTTGATTGATAGACAGTGCTGCTCTATGGGCTGGTGACTAGCAAGGAAGCTCAAAATGTGAGTATTTTTTTATTAATAAATGACACCTTTGCTTATCTGCATTGACATATGCTGAACTAAATAATACCTACAGGGTGGGTGTCAGCAGTGCTGGAAATGAGGCCGCTTTCTGGTCCCTGCATTTTATTCTCCTGTTGGGTTAACCCCGTCTAGCGCTTAGCCTTTCGGGACCCTCTCAGAACTGCGGTTGTTTTCGCCGCTCGGCCCAATCGAGATGCAAAGTTGATAGTCACACGAAGTTTATTTTGGGCATCTGAATATACGACTTCGAAATTAATCGATTCAACAAAACCTTTTTCTTTCATCTATATGCATACATTTAACAGTAACTCCAGACTAGGTTGGTTTGGCTGACCCTAAATAAGCTTCGTTTGACTATCAACTTTGCATCTCGACTGGGCCGAGCGGTGAAAACAACCGCGACCTTGAGTGGGTCCCGAAAGGCTAAGCGCTGGACGGGATTAACCCGCCCGGAGAATAAAACGCCGGGACCAGAAAGCGGCCTCATTTCCAGCACTGGGTGTCAGCCCTTCGGTTTATTATTCACTGACTGTATAGTGCCTGCAAATGAACATGCTAGGGACTAATGTTTCAGGTATACCTATGTTTGTCAGTTCATGGTCTTATAAGATTCCTGTTCATTTTATTGCTAAAATGGTATGCTAGGCTCTGCTAGACATCATGCTGTGTTTTACACATTTTGTTGACAAAGTGCATTCATGATTTGACAAGAAGATTCATGACAAGGAAGATTGTGATTCGTGTGCAAGTTGAGGTGTATCCACATTTTCTTGAGTTCCTTTCAGTTCAGATGTTCACCTTTTTTGCCATAGGTGAAGAGTTGCAAAAAAGGTAAAGGATGCTTATCGCATATCTGTCCAATGGAGCCAAGAACTTCTCATTTGCCATTAAGAACATATGCTTACCAGTTTCCGGCCAACTCTGCCTTCCACCTACATTCTAGGCAATACAAATAGGCACTATAGTTTGAAGTCCAGGAATCCAGTCATTTATGGGTTGGGACCTTTTAATTTTGGGGGTAGCTACTGGCAACCTGACTGGGGTGGGGGTCAGCTTTTATCAACTTCTTTTTTAAACTGCTTTGCTTGATTCTGTTAGCTATCAATTTATGCTGACTGATGGGGACAAATGAGAATTCAAGTACAGAGAAACTGATAAAAATAGGCCTTTAAGACAGTTGTGCTTTATTAATCCTCGCCTGTATTGGCCTTTTTGCAGCTTGGTTATTATGGGGGAAGGGATGGGGCTAAGTAGGAGATCCTTCCCAGCTGTTCGGCCCCTGGATCAAGGCAGAGTTTTGCAGAAAAACACTTCTTTTGGCGTCTTGATTTTGATTTTTGTTTTGATCATATGATTACGAGCGAGCGAGCGCAGCGAGCGAAGCGAGTCTTTTCAATATAACGGAAAAATCTCAGTATGAGCGGCCCGGCCCGGCATTGCCCGGCCTGTAACGCTTTTGAGAGGCTTATATCTCAGCAACCGCTCGACCCAGTAGCGGCGGAACACCTTCAATTAAAGGGGGGCATTGCCGACTTTTGGTCCCATTCTTTCCATGCAACGCCCATAGGGCTAATGTTAAAATGCCAAAATCAAAGGGGGGGGGGGCACGGTGCCCCGGTGCCCTCCCCGTTCCGCCGCCATTGGCTCGACCGATTGGCCTGCGGTCTTTTTTGCTGGGTAGCCCCATCCCTTCTACCCCGTAATTGACTTTTGATACACCTCAGTGACCGTCGTGGCACGTGCCACGTGAAAAGTCAAGGGTATTCAAGCTGTTTTGCAAAAGTAGTGATTTTGAGAGGCTCATATCTCAGCAGCCGCTTGGGCGATTGACTTGCGGTAATTTTTGTAGGGTAGCAGCATCTCTTCTACCAAAAATAGGATACTCTCGATGCATGTGGGTCACCCCCAGTGCACGTGCAAAATACAACAATAAGAGGTGTCAAATTTGTTCCCATTTTAGTAACTCGGTAATTACTGGGGCGATTTCGCTGAAACTTGGCATACAGGTAGGCACCCACCAGGCAATGTATTCCCATGTGTTGCGGTTAAGGTGCTACTGCACGTGCGCACGTGCAAGGGGCGCTTCCAGATCTCGAGAACGGCTGGGCCGATTGCGCTCAAATTTGGTACACGGTTGGGGACCAGTTAGTAGGGTGCCGTGCAAAAGTCAGTTTGGACCCCGTTTGCACGTGCGCACGTGCAGAATGCCGCTTCCAGATCTCAGGAACGGCTGGGCCGATTGCGTTCAAATTTGGTACACCGCTAGCGACCGGTTAGAAGGGTGCTTTGCGCAAGCCCGTTGGAAGTACCCTCTCGCCCTTCCGCACGTGCAGGGCTCACTATCTCGCTCGCTCGTTCTTCGCCCAAAAGGCGTTTTACTGGTGTATTCATGTATTTGGGGTACGTCGGGTCGGGTCAGGTCAGGTCAGGTCATGCAAAGCAGTAAGCATCCCATCATGAATCTATATTCTATACTCAGGTTGGATAGATGACAGGTCCGTTCTGTCCCTTTCACCTTTACGCGCGAGGGTTGATATCAAATATGCCCTTATTGTTGACTGATGCGAATCACTTGTTCAAAAGATTTACAAAAGGCTGGCCAAAACGTCCTCCGGGCCGGATTTGAACCAGCGACCTATGGATGTCCGTGTGTACCGCTACAGTCCACCGCTCTACCAACTGAGCTACCAGAGGCCTGGCGGCCGCCGGTTATGTCGAGCTGCGGCTGCAGAGCAGGTGTGTTGCAATATCTGAATTTGGGTGTTACCTACACTTTCACTCTGTCTCAGGTCATAACAAGCGACGTCAGGCTTGGCCCATTTGACATAGCGCTACAGTGTTAATACCTATCCTCTGGTAGCTCATTTGGAAGAGCGGTGAAATGTGATGCTATGAGCAGGCATCCCCAAACGTCACTGGCTCAAATCCGGCCCGGGGGACCTTATATTCACAAAAAAACCGCCCCGGAAAATAGGGAAAGCAGATGCGATCATCTTCCTGGGATAATCGATGTTTTTCAAAGTAAAGTCGATATTCACCACGAAACTTTCAGAAGGTACCTACTCTTTCCGACATCAATTCTACACACACGTCAGCGGCTGCAATGGTCGGTTTATGAGGATTGATGAAAAGTTTTCGACAAAAAGTGCATGATAAACGATGCTAAGAAACTTATGTCGGTACACAACTTCTTTACAAATAAATTTGGCTTTTATTAGGTACATATTGCAAATATCACGAAAGAAACCCAGACTTTCAAAGTAATAGCTAAGCGGAAAACATAATACCTACGCGCAATCATGCCACTCAGCAAGCATGCTAACTTTCAGCTTGATAGCTCAATTTCGTGTACCCTTAAAACCGTTAAAATTACCCTTGGATGATGTCAGCTTTTCAAACTCGACTTGTAGTCGCTTTAGATACGAGCGTAGCGCGGATAACAAAATTGGATGATTTGTAACGAGGTGTATGGGACGGACGCCCTTTTACACCAAAGAACTCCAAAATTATGAAATTCTTTGACCTCTGCCTGCCTTGACCTTACCGTAAAATTCGTCTTGCAATCACCGATGCCAATGAAACTGTGTCACCCAGTAGATCTTCGACGGGACATCGATAGGTGTCTGAATATTGAGTATTGGTCAAATGCTTTCGGAGAAAGCAGGTAACCGAAACGGCGTACGGCGTATACCGAAACGGCGTAAGTATACGTACTTTGATGTTATGGAGTAGGAATTCATGTTCAAATTGCCGCCCAGAGTTGAGGCCTTGCGGTGTGCCTATTCATTATCTAAGCCCATGCTCGTATGGCTTATTGCGCAGACTACTTTTGTTTGTCTGTTCGTTGATCCGTGAAGACTTCACCTCATTGCATCTATGTATCAGAAATCATTGGTGAACTAAGAATTAATTAATGACTTTGTCATTCTTTAATTCCAGCTGTTAAGCCTAGGCTCCACCACGCGAGTTTTCCGTGCGATTTTGCGATATTGCGATATCGCGTTATCTTTGCGAACTTTTTTGTGATAATGCGATAATGCGTGAGCGATATTGTGTGACATTTAATAATGCGATTTCCGCAGTGTAGCTCAGCACATCCATTTGCACTAGACGAACATTTTCTGGCATCGCCAAGGGTATCGCATTCTCGCATTATCGCAAAATCGCACGGAAAATCGCGTAGTGGAGCCTGGGCATTACATATTGTTTAAGTGATGGTTTGTAACAATCCTATACCTGGTGGGCGATATGCAGAGGCCGAGTTCCCCTGGTCACTCGGTTGCCGCCTAGTCACACCCCTGACTGACAGCGTTGGTTTCAGATAGTGCATGCATTTTGTTCTGCATCAGCGACACAATTTAATTTGGGACGTTGGTTAGATTACGGACGCCATTCCTCGAGGTGGTTGCCGGCACAGCCTGGGAGCCGATCCGTGGCTACCTTTGGAGGCGATCTCCACTGGCATTCGGGTAACCACGTCCTCAAGCAGCATCCTTCTCTCTGTTCTTAGTCTGTTATTGCGTTGAAGAACGTCAGCTTGAGTGTTATTGGAGCAGGTCCGCGAAAACAGCCGTCGTCGGGTCAGTGACGCTCACGCAGCGCAGCTAGCCGCGTCAGCAGTGCTCTTCGTGCGCGGTCGGCGGCTCTTTTGTGTTCATCGTTTCTCTGGCGGGTTATCGGCGGCTGTCTGGCCGTGCCGGGCGCCGCCCTTGACTGAGAGCGCCCCTGGGCGCCGCGGAGGGCGCGGGGCGCGGCAGCCCTTCTGGCGCGGCCGGGCGGTGCCCAGCGCACCTATCGATTGCCGTCGCCGGCCGACTAGTTGGTGTCGCCGCCGCCAGGCGGCCGCGTGATCAATTGGCGCTGGGCGCCGGCCGTCGAACGGCGAGCGGCGGCCGGCCGTGCCGTGTGCGTGCCGGGGCAGAGGCCGACTGACCGCCCGCTCTCCGCACCGACCAGGTAAGCCGCCCGCCGCCGCAGCGCCCGCTCGTGGGGCTTCCTCAGGTCGCCGTGGCTGGGTGACCAGCGCCGGGCCGGGCTCGGACTGGGGCTGGCTGCATGTGTTGTCCTGACTGCGCCACGCGGTATGCCGCTGGTCCTCTCGGTCTGTCCCTGGCGGAAACCCCCCGTCAAACCTATGTTGGAGTCTGATTGAATTGAGCTCAACCATCCTCCTGTCTAACCCGACTCGGCTCGACGCAACGCGGCTGGGTGCGGCTCGTGGCGGCTCTGACCAGCTGTTTCCAGTTCGTCCTAGCGCTCCGTCGTCCGGGAGACCAGCTGGAACACATACGGGCCGGACAGACCGACAGGCCTGGGCAGAGACAGACCGACACGGACACTGGACACACCGACAAACCGACAAGCTTAGACAAACCGACAGGCCCGGACTGACCGACAGACACGGACAGAGAGTAGAGACAGGTCGACACGGACACTGGACACTGGACAGGTCATACAGGCCGACACGGACACGGGACGGACCGACAGGCCCGGACAGACCGACGGACACGGACAGGCCGACAGGCTCGGACCGACTCCTAGGCACGGACAGATGGATAAGTCTGAAGTCAGGACACAGACCCCCAAGCTCGGACAGACCCCCTGGGCCCCGGCAGACCCCCTGGCCTGGACAGGGATGACTGAGACAGACTTCCAGGCCGGGTCAGGCATACAGGCTTGGACAGGCTGACAGATCCGAACAGATCGCCTGGCCCGGTCAGACCCAACAGCCCGTACAGACCCGACAGGCCCAGTCAGACCGACTGGCCACTGTTCCGCCGCCGCCGCCGCCGCCGCCGCCGCTGCCGATGATGGGCAGTGCGGCCCTCCGGGACGTGTCTGTGGACCTCTTCTCGGTACCGCGGCATCAGCAGCCGCTCTGCTGAGACACCAGCAGCCGCTCCGCTGATGCCAGCAGGTGGTCGGTGTGCTGAGATGGGTCGGCTCAGCGGCGGACGGTCAGCTCCCGACCCGTCAATAGGACCACCCGCCCAGAGAACGGGATTATCTCGAGCTGACACGCACCCGGGACGCCGAGACTGGGACGGGGTCGGTGGTGCAGTTCGGGGTGGTTCGACCTCTTAGATGTCTTGGTTGCAGATTATTTTCAACTGTATCTTGAGGTTTTTGGGCTGTCAAGTAGCTTTTAGGCTCAGCCAGGCAGACATTTCTTGTATTGAATGTACCTTGTAGGCATTGCATATAACGTTACGACTCCAGTTGGGTTCCCTATTTCTTTTTCATTTTCGTTTCACTTAATTGATTCTATGGCTCGGTGTTCATGCGGTGTTTCCAGTGAACAGTTATTAATAATTGAAATGACCCAGTAAGCTCAGCCTTTGGACGTGCAGTCGTATGACCATTACCAAACCTAAGTGGCAAAACCAATCTGACCGTACGACCGGCGCTGGTTTTTACGCTGATCCAACCGCACAGCATAGTGGTCATTGCATGTTTTTGGTACCTTATATAATGATTCAATTTGCGGTAGGATGCTAATATGGGTAAACCAGAGACTCATTCTATCGCCATTTCCCTAAGATGACTATGGCCCATATGGGTGGGGCTGATGAAGTGCTAATTTTACGGAGCGTCCCAGCTGAGGCGGCGCGGCGGCCATTACGGGTATCTGTCCGGGGCGGCGGGCCGTGCGCGGCGCCATTAGTTCGCCGCCTGTGCCGCCGTCTCCGCCGACCGCCGCTCGATGCCTGCCATATTGCAGCAATCTTTATCGCGTCGGCACGTCACAGTTTCATCAATCAGGCGCCGGCTTATGGCGAATCTCGAAATTTACGGCCGTAACGACTTCCTATGCGTCCGCTGAGACCTGGCCGGCCGTTCGGCAGTTAGCGACTGAGCCGCGGGCTGTGGTGAGCCGCACGCCGGGCTGATCGGCTGGGCCCTGCCTGCTACCGGAGGTGGGGGCTGCATGTTGGTTGGAGGCGGTGTGGATCGGGCTCGCAATTCCCCCGAACGCCCCAGGGTCTGGAGAGCCAACGGCGACCGGTCTATAAGCCAGTCGCAAACTATGGAAATGGCTCTCAGATAGTGTCCGCCCTGCAAAATGCATGTCCGCAGCGCCGTCGAAAGAAGTTTGTGATAAGCTCTCAACTTTGACCCACGTCTGCGGTGGATCTCACCAGTTTCTGGGATTAAAGGTAGTGTGCCAGCTTTCCTGGACCGTATGGAGTTAATGGCCCAGATAAGGAGAACCGGATTTTTAGAACTTATCCATACCTTCAAAACTCATGGAAACGTCTTAAATTCTTCAAATTTTTAGTACCCCAGTGCGAAATTCGCCCCGACGGGTTGTCGGTCGTACGTACCCCAACCACATTTCACACCACTATGAACAATAAATGCACACACTGAAATCGCTATTACCGATATGCTCATCCAATCAAGTTTCGATAAACCCGTTCATCATCATCTCCTGCGGTTTCGAACACGCCTGTTAGGTGGTACGGTAGACCGCGCCCAAAGCCAGGGCCCCGGTAACGTGAGGTAGCCGAGTCGGGGCAGCGTGCGCTGACCCAAGCCGGGGCCGCGCGTCCTCCCGGTGTCATGTGATAGCCCGGGGCTGCCCGCGGGGATGCGGTAGACCGCGCCCAAAGCTGCGGCCCCGGCTTGGGTCAGCGCACGCTGCCCCGACTCGGCTACCTCACGTTACCGGGGCCCTGGCTTTGGGCGCGGCTTCTGCTCATACTTTGTGGTGCGGTGGTGGTGCGTCGGGCCGCGCGCTGACTTCGGCCAAGAAAAATGCGTCAACTGATCATTGTCATTTCTGCCACTTGCGTGTGGTGAAATGGGGTCATAACTTAAGAGACGGCTTTTTCATATCAATTATTTTACGTAAAATCATATTTCAAACCATAAATAATGTTCGACAGCCAAATACAAGAAACAATACCAATACAGGCTTACAGTTTAAAGGGACCCTCCCACCTTAACATTAGTTTTGAGTTGAGATAGCCAAGTTTGCGGCCAGGCTCAGAAACCACCATTTATCCTGGTCGCAACCCCCGCAGCTTTATGGTGTTCAAGAAATGTCTTCCCTTTACTTGCAGGGTGGGACCAGCGTGGTCCCTATCTCTTAACCATTACGGGAATCTGATGACGTCATCAGGCTTTCGAACGTCCGTTAAATGTTTGACTAAAACGTTTTGTAGCACGCGGTGGTATATGCTGCGTTGCGCGCAACAAATGCCGCACTTTTAAATAAAGTCGCTAGGAACAGCGGAGATCCCAAAAAGTATACAAAAGTAAAAGTCTAATATCTTAAAAACCGGTGAATATTTTTCGGTGAAATTTGGTAGATATTCGTTTTCGCTCTTTCTGAACCGAGCGACATCACTTTCATGCCAATTCATAAAAAATTTTTAAGGTGGGAGGGTCCCTTTAAGGCTCGACATTGTGTTGTCTACGATTAGACAGCTGATAACTCATTCCCGTACGTCGTAACTCTATAATGACCTTTGCTTATTGTCACATGTGCGCCGCATTCGCGATTGTTGCCGACGCCTGTTTGCAGGTCAGCCCACTACAGTTGTTATACATATCGAAAAACCGATAAACTTTTAGGCGAAAAAGGCACTATTCCAGGCCCATTTTTGATTTTTTTTGCGATATTAGGTAAAAACAGAAGCTTCTTATCCTAGGAAAAATAAAATGGGAAATCTTTCAAAGGTGGCACACTACCTTTAATATATGTGCATACACGATTCAGCGGAGTTCCTCAAAAACTGATTTTCTGTCAATCCCAGTTCTCTCAGTCAGTCGCTTCCAATCCATTTCTCTCGAACTCGACGCACGGCATCTCGGCTCGGCGGCGGCCCGGTTCGATCCGTCAGGGTTGGGCCGTCCGGTATTTCGGCTGTTGTGATTTGTACGCTCGCTGCCGCTGAGTGCTCACGCCGTTTCATGCATACCCATGACTGTCCGTCGGCCGTCGGACGCAGCCGTTCGACGCCCACACATTTGCATGTCGGCTGGGGCGGGTCGGGAGGGAGGAGGGAGCGCGCACGGTCCGCCCCCGGCAGCCAGGGCAAGTAGATGGATGTTGGTGCTGGACGGTTTATGGGATGGGGTGCGTACTGCGTAGGTGGGAGCGGGGAAGATGGACGATAGCTTGATTGGTAAGCCGTGGTCTAAAGAGCCAGTAGAAACCATCGGCCTGGGCTGCAAGCCAGCATACATTTGTTTTGCGTCTTCCGGAAAGTGGATAATCTCTGCATTGTCATTCCACCTTTAAATACTAAAGTCTCGACATTTAACGTGGGAAGTTATTTGGCCTTTCTGATCTCCAACTCGACTAGAAGTGCCGGAACCGCTCTAAGCCTGGTGCCCAGGGCTCCGCCCCGCCCCGCTTCACACTGAGCCAGACAGACGGCGCGGCGTCTGTTCTGGGGGCGTCCGACAGATTCCTGACGGCCCGGGCCGGTATTATGACGTCACTGGTGACACAGACGGGGATTATGACGTCACTGGTGACACGTGGCCGTTCGGCTGCCCTGTGGCGACAGTGGCCGGCCGTGTGTTTGGCCGTGATACACAGTGGGGTCGGACAGGTATCGACCTGGACACCTGTCCTGGCTCTGACCGCCGTCCGTGGCACATCGGACGGACGCCGGGAATGTTGGGAGTGCTGGCTGGAGTCGATGGAATGGACGCAAGGCGAAGTGGCTGCCACTCATCGTCAATATTCAAAGTGGACAGCGTGACATTGCTGGGAGTGGACGAGAAACAGCAGGCGATGGACGTTCGGTGATAGATGGTAGAGGGTGCCAGTGGGCGATGGACAGTTGGACAGTGAACAGCGGACGGTGGACGGTGGACGGTGGACGGTGGACGGTGGACGGTGGACGGTGGACGGTGGACGGTGGACAGTGGACAGTGGACGGTGGACGGTGGACAGCGGACGGTGGACGGTGGACGATGGACGGTTGACGGTTGATGGT